TTTCTGCATCCAGCGCAGTAATTACTGTGTAGAACTTTGATAAATCTGCTGTGACTCGGCTCATATGCAGTAGGCCCTCAATTTGTGCAAACCATAAAGTTGGGTCCTTGGTTAAAAAGTTTGGCAACTTCATTTGCCCAATCGCTTGCACTGCCGACGCTTCCGCTTCCATAGGCTGGAATTTATTTGTCTCTGTTGGAGTCTCTGCATGTTCAGTTTCTTGCATTTTGCGTTTTCCTTGAAGTTTTTTTTTGAAGGGGTCACCAATTTATGGCCTTATACCATAAGTTTATATAAACAAATAAGAAACACGTTTTGATTGTTCATTCACTATTTTATTTCTGCCAAGCTTCTACTTGAAGTTGGCTGCTTAACCTAAACCCAAAAATGTCATTTTTGGTTTCCCTTTGCCGGTAGATGGCAAAGTGAACGCCACAAGTATATCCCATCTGTTGACATAACAGAACATCCACTACGTTTACGCGAGCCTTAAAAGTTGTTTTAAGGCTCTTAAAATCGATTTTAAGATCGCGTAAACACCCTAAATTGAATTTTGCTTAAAAGCACTTTTAGCTTACTAAATGTAGTTTAACATCACTTTTAGTAAGAAATGTCACTTTTAATCTTTGCGTAAACACCTTAAAAGCAGTTTAAGGTTTGAATTGTCAGCTGTTAACAGTAAATAGGTACAAATAATTTGAATTTTATTACAAATTACACTAACCAAATAACTAAAAATATGGAGAAAAAGGAAATGAAAAGAAAAAATTAGATGAAAGAGGAGGAAGAATGTTTAATTAAAATATTTGCAGAAAAACAAATAATTAAATTGTTAGACGGCAAAAAATATAGAAAAAGCCTAATTGCATCCCAGAATCTAAATTAATTAAACTTGTTTATTTTTTATTCTCTATTTGAAAATCTTAACTTTACCGTAATGATAACTATATATTTAAAACATTTTAGTTTAGTTTAAATTAAGTTTATTATTTTCAATTATTTAAATTTGTCATTAAGCACAAATTGTTATAAATATATTATATTATATATATTATATTGTTAGTTATAAAAAAAATTATAAATTAATTAATTTAAAATTGGTTTTTTCTACATTATTTTTTTAATTGCTTCTATGTAGAAGTGAAAATTTTCTCGCCAAGTACGCGCATATATGATCTCGCATAAGTTGTCCGGACGACAAATTTTGTCGATTGTACATATGTTCAGGTTGGGAATATTCAACCCTTCAACGAAAGTATTTTCTGCTGGTGCCATTTTATCCTTAAGTAAATCTACAAGCCTGAAAAATATTTGTCGATTCACTCTAAAATCAACAATCCATTGTTCATCGTCATAGAACTACAGAACTTCAACATCCCACCATTCCGAACTTCTCTTCCTTTTGCTAAAAGTTTTTATTCGTGGTGGAATCTAAAAACAAAAATGCATTCTAAATATTTTATGAAAAACTTTATAAAAACATTTACATTCATTAAAGCCTCATTAGCGGAACTTATTGCCATTTTATTAAAGAGCTGCAATCGCATTTCTCGTAATTTTGTAAATTTTTTACGAGATGTTTTAAAAATCTGCATTGTTGCTTCATTATTATTTTCTACAATTTTGGTTATATTTCTTTTTTGCAATAAAAGTAAAACAATTTGTAGTTTTACTCTATTCATTTTAAAAATGTTTAAAATCAACATTTCTGTTTACTGTTAAACAGCTGATTGATTGACAGCTACCTTAAAAGTGCTTTTAATTTTTGTGCGTAAACGCTCTAAGAACAAATTTTAAAATCAGTTTTAAAAGTGATTTTAAGACTCGCGTAAACGTAGTAATCATGAATCTATAAAGGAAAACTTGATAAAATCCATAATCTCCCGTGATATTCGAACCACGCCGATGAGATGAATGGCGCAATGTTAGTGTGTCTAAATGGAGGTCTCCGGATAAATGGCGACTTTCGGTTGTAATCTATTTTGGTCTTGCAATAGGGGTATTGAGTAAGGCATTTTTCATTTCAATGTCATTGTATCATTGGTTATATAATGTTACGATTCTGTCGCTTGCAAATTGACTGCCACCTTGATGACAAAGATTATCAAGGACTTTTGTTCCCAACCTGGTCAAATTTTAGACATTTCAAAAAGATGATAAATTGTAGTATATTAAAATATCCCATTCACTTTTGTACAAATTTCCGCCCCGCATAAACTTATAAAATATTCTCGTATCGATTGGTATACCGTGCACACAAATGCTCAAATGCTCAAGAAGTACAATGGTGGTGCTTCAAAAGACGTATACGAGTATAAGGTTGTGACAGGTGACAAGTGAGGAATCGTGGATACATGCGTTTAAGTCGGAACGTGAATAGCAGTTGACTGTATGGATGTATGAGTGTTTTAAGATGAACCAAATCCAACAAAAATTGATCGCACTCGAAGCGCTTTGAAAGGAATGGTTACTTATTTTTTCGGGAAAACTGTTCATGTGGCAACTATACGAATACTATTATAGAAACGAAAAACGGTCAATTTTGGATGGTATGCAACCAATCGGAAGTCTTCAGTGAAATACGGAAAACAAACAAGCGCCGTCAGATCATTCACCATCTCCATCAAGACAACGCGAATGCTCAGACATCTCGTGTAACAACCGACTATGACTATTTGAAGATTCAAAAAATGACACATCGAATTGATGGGTCCGCCTGATTTGGTACAGTCCTGATTTGGCACCCAATGACTTCTTCTTGTTCCCGAACGTCAAGAATAAATTGCGTGGAATACATTTTTGTCGGCGGAAATATCAAGAAAAGCCGTTATAGCATTTTTTGAAGGTATTTGAAAAAGACTGGAAAAAATGCTTTGATAAATGGTTCGAACACATGCAAAAGTATATTAAACATAAAGGAAAGTTTTTCCAGAAACAATAAAACAGTTTTCAACAACAGGTTAGTATTTTCTTATTACTAGGCCCAATATATAAATAGTGACCCTCGTATTAATGAAAGCATACACAATATATGTTTTATTGTGTTAAAATATGTCGAACTTGGTGTCAAGAAAACTGCTTTTCAAAGCCAACATTGAAAAGCATTCAATGGTGTGCGAATATAGTGATTTATATAGATATATATTTAATATATAGATTTTTATGTTATAAAATTTACTATTTTAACATTAAATTTAACAAATTTCTTAAGTGAAGCTTACTCTTTAGGAAATTTTTTTACTTTGTTATATAGGACGATTTATAGTGCTTTATAAATGAATGCCTTCAATCAAACTTTTAAATAAACATCTGCCGTATATGGAAGCGGGGAAAATAAAAACATTTATCCTTCAAGAACTGACCTATGTTTAAAAATACTCTAGCGGGAATTTCTTTAATTACTCAAAGTTCTAAGCTTGAGAGCTTTAAGTAGAGAAGAAACATGCAGAGACCGTAATATTATCAGAGACCGTATTGCAGTGATACAGAAAACTTACTATTATCAAAGACAGACACCGCATTGAAAGACCGTAAAAAAGACCCAAAAAGGCCGTAGCACAGACAAATAATATACAGATTGCGAATGCAGAACAAAAATATGGACCTCTTTAATTTTACGGTAGCCAGCTCGAGTAGCCAGCTAAAACCACAATCAGCTTTGAATTGTAGAACACTTAAGACAAACCAAAGCTGTGTATAACACAATGATCTTAAGTGTTCGAAACACACGAAAGAGCTGTTGAATGTGCGTATGAGAAGGTGTGTGATATAGTATAGAAATTGTTGTTATATTTTCTATTCATATTGCTAGTTTGGGTGCTTGTGTGATTTATATGTTGACAATTTTCTGTTTTGCGAACTTATGCTTCCATAGTTTTGCTGCATCAAGACGAAAGGGCAATCAGTGAAGTGCAATTTTTTGTTTCTATATTTACAAAATTTGGTTTCTTTTGGGTTAAGAGGAAATAGAGAGGAAAGGGCGTTGAATAGTAGTTAAACACGAAGAAGCGTTCTTTAGTGTTGAATGGACACATAAACACACAAATTCAAAGAAATATTCTTTGCTTTTTGTATACATTTTTTCTAAAATATATGTTTGACTTTGTGTGCATGCAATGCACAACTTTTTCCAAATTATTATAAATTTGATTTTTGATGAAATTTTTTACTAGTCTCATATATTTTGATATGAGTTTTGCCTATTATGAGGTGAGTAAACACCGGCAGTAGCCGAACTATAGTTGTTGTTAGTGCAAATGGTATTAATAAGTATGGCAGTGAAGATAGTACTATGACCTGTACTAGCCATGATAACATGAAGTATGTTAATAAACACCATGTTGTTAAATATCTATTTATGT